GCAACAAGCCTTACGGCCAAAGCAGCTCTCGGCCTCTCTCTCTCTTCTCCGATGTGGGCCCAAGCCTAGCAAAAATAAATAAATTAAACAACAACAACAGTCAGCGCATCAGGCCCTCTGGCCCAAAATCGCAGCCTAAACCGCAAGAACCCAGCATCCATACTAGGCCCTGCGGCTTGGTCCAATTCCTTGGCCTAAAAGGCCTTTCGGTATCCTTGTTCTTCTCTCCTAGGCACGGGCCCAAGCCCAGCCTTCAAAAAAAAAAAAAAAAAAAAAAGAAGGGAGGCGTACGTCTTCCTGGCTCATCACTAAAGGCCCGTACCCCAGCCCATGCCGAAGCTGTGCCAAGCCACACACAGCAACCACCTAGCCATGGCTTCCCAGCCAACTTTTCATGCATCCTCGACCCCTGTCGAGCCAAAAAATCAAGCCCTGAGGCTCCCAAAAAATTAAGAAGACAAGGAAAATTAAAATTTTCTTACCTTGAAGCGGCGTGAAGACGAAGCAAGCAACACAATACAATCCTTTGCACGGGCAAGAGTATAAGATTGCTAGGGGAGGGGGAATAAATATCCTCTAAGCTCTCTCTTTCTTTCTTGTAGGGTAGAATGAAACGCTTTTCAAAGTTGATTTAATAACCAACTTAAGGTGGACTTAAATAGACTTTGGGAGAGATTTATTTCCCTTTCCTAGAACTATCTAATTTCCAATTAAAGAGAGAATCTACATCAAAATAGGAAACAATCCTATGTTTCCTAAAACAAGAAGATCTCTACACCTGCTGCCATTTTCTACGAGTAACCTAACAGGTGTGGGAGCATTTGTGGAGTAAAAAATAATCAAGAAAAATATGGAGGCGACACGTGGATTTTTGGGTAAAAAAGACAAGATTATGTTTAAGGCACATTGGAACTCCTACGGGCGAGCAGCGGACAATCACCACTCAATCAAGGTCAAAAGTGATCAAAATAGGTATTTATTCAAAACCTATTTCATCTATCCTCATCAAATCCTCCCCACAAGGTAACTCCCAAATTATTTCTTTCAAATTATATTAATTAGCTAATTAATTGATGTATTACTCAATTAATTTATTAATTAGCTAATTGATGGTAATTAACACCAAAAAATACCTCACATGGCTAGTCCCCATTCTCCTAATAGGGTCAGCCATACCCTTATTGTGACATCCCACATCGCCCATGGGGTGATCCTTATATGTATATCCCATCTCTACCTAGCACGAGGCCTTTTGGGAGCTCACTGGCTTCGGGTTCCATGGGAACTCCGAAGTTAAGCGAGTAGCGCGCGAGAGCATTCCCAGGATGGGTGACCCATCGGGAAGTTCTCGTGTGAGTTCCCAAAAACAAAACCGTGAGGGCGTAGTCAGGGCCCAAAGCAGACAATATCGTGCTACGGTGGTGGAGCGGGCCCGGGAAGTGATCCACCCCGGGCCGGGATGTGACATTTGGTATCAGAGCCTAACCCTGGCCGCGTGTGTGCCGACGAGGACGTCGGGCCCCTAAGGGGGGTGGATTGTGACATCCCACATCGCCTAGGGGGTGATCCTTATATGTATATCCCATCTCTACCTAGCACGAGGTCTTTTGGGAGCTCACTGGCTTCGGGTTCCATGGGAACTCCGAAGTTAAGCGAGTAGCGCGCGAGAGCATTCCCAGGATGGGTGACCCATCGGGAAGTTCTCGTGTGAGTTCCCAAAAACAAAACCGTGAGGGCGTAGTCGGGGCCCAAAGCGGACAATATCGTGCTACGGTGGTGGAGCGGGCCCGGGAAGTGATCCGCCCCGGGCCGGGATGTGACACCTATAAATACCACTTCATTTTCTCCAAAAACCTAAGTTGAATTCCAAGCTTCTTGCAAAATTCTCTAAACATTTTTCCTTCAAAATTCTAACTTTGGTATCGGTGATTCTTCGGCCAAAGCCCCCTATTCATCGTGGGCACGTGAGTCTCTTGGCCTTGACCTAAGATGTTAATTGTTTTTGCAGGTGCATTTTCATCCAAGAACAAGAAGTAAGAAATTTGCATCCATAATATTGAACTAATGTATTTAAATGTTAGTACCGAAATGTATGTACTGAAATCTATGCACCAAAATATATTATATTAAATTAATGTACCTAAATGTGTGTACCAAAATGTATGCACTGAAATGTTAGTACCAAAATGTATTATATTACATTAATGTCCCTAAATGTTGTATATACTGAAATGTGTGCACCTAAATGTATGTATCAAAATATATTATAATGAATTTAATGTACCTAAATGAATAAGACAAAGTACATTGAAATATATTGTATAACAAAAATTAGTTTATCTAAATGTTTACAACAAAATATATTACGATAAATAAAATGAAAATGAAAATTATAATGAAATAAAATTAATACATTAAAATTAGGAAGAAAAAGAGAAATAATTAAAAAATGCTAATATAATTAATAAATGACGTTATTAATGTATCAAGGGACTAAAATTATATTTTGATCTTACTTATGGTTTTAGTCTAAAAGTTATCTTTACCAAGGATTATAATGAAGTTTTCAATTTAATGATTATGTCGGCGTCTATTTGTTTGTGAATATTTATCCATAGCATTAACCAGATTGCGTGCGTGCGTGCGTGCGTGCGTGCGTGGGTGTGTATTCATATACAAGGAGACATCTCTAGATGAACTTCTAACTAAATCGAAAGATACCTAGCAATATCACAATTACCTGCCCTCTGAGAGAAGCTTTCATCAATTTTGTTTGCGCATGCTTCACCTGAGGCGAGTGGCTCCATGGAATTTGACATATTGTACGGAATCACACGCAAATCCTGGCATTAAAAGCCGCAAAAGCAAATGTGCACTCCTCCTCCTTTCGATCCTTAGTAATAAGAGTCGAGTTCTAGTGCTATGGAAAATTAAGATTGAGTAAGAGGAATATATATATCATAGAGTTGTACATATATCATCGATGAAAAGGTTTGTTATCCATTCAAGAGGGTTTTTTTTTTAACTTATATATTTATATAAATTTTTCTGTAAGAACAATACACGTCTCGAAAAGTAGTTTGATGAAAGTGGTCACAGAAGCCAGAAGAAATAATAAATTAAATCCTAAGATTGTAACAATACATTAAAAGATGGGCGCGTTATTTTAGAAGTCAAATCCTAGGTTTATAAAACAAATCATTCTTCAAACATACTTAATTAAATAAAAGGTTGTCTGAACGGGAAAGTATTGCAAAAAGTCTTCACTGCACATATATCAATTTCACATTGAACAAATAGTTTTGCCAGAGTATTTGAAGAGTATAGACAAAGTTGAGAACACTGACGATAAGATTCTTAGTTAGGTTCTATCTTCCCCCTCCTCATATTCTTGTATTATTATTTACTTATGTGCGATTTAACCTTTATGTTCAAATGTTGGTGAGTATGGCATTAAATAAGAAGTGGATTCAAGCTTGAATCTTACATAAGTTAGTGGTTGTTCACCCTCTATTAATGCGGGTAGCTGCCAACCACTAATATATGTGAAATTATTTAATGAGAAACGAACTAATCAACGGTGATAAACATCCAAACTCACACATATGCGTATACATATAGTGTTGTTATATTCTAAACTTATCTCTTCAGATCCCAGCTTTATATTTTTTTCTTTAATAATAATTAAAATAATCTAGAAAAGCCTATATCTTCATATTTACAAAATTCTAAATAAATAACATAATAAATTCGATTCAAAACATAATTTAGTATGAATCAATGGTAAGCTAGACAAATCAATTCAAGCAATCATATATATAATCTAACACATCAATATCGGCAACAATAATCATCTAGTTATAATCAAATAAACTAAATTACTTATATATGCATATAGTTAAAAATGATTTCATGTTTAAAATTAGTTGATACCAACGCCAGCCTTTGCTTGAACTATTATTCAAAGAAGAAAAAAAAGTTAAACATAAGAAACCCTTACATATACATATAACCTAATTAAGTATGCAAACGTTCTTTAATTTCGTACATATATAGTAAACATAAAGAACAAAAAATAAACTCTTTCTTGCATCTCTAAGTTAAATATTTTTTCACACTCTATAGGGTTGTCAATCATTCATTTATATAGAATTCACATACATAATTACATCAACAATTGACCAACCGAAACATACAAGATCTAAGTGTACATGTCATTAACAATGAAAAGATAAGAAATCCAATCACAATAGTAGAATTACATATTAATTTCAGCAAAACAATTTTCACACATACTTATTTGTGTATCTTAATTTTCTTTTAATTTACTTACTTAAAATACTATAAATAAACATAAGTCCCTTAACTTTTTTACGAGACAGGGTTCAAAAACAGCTTGGGCATAGACCAATGAGGATTGAGAAAGCCAAACCTCGGTTCCGAGAATGGAAGAGAGCGCCCTTTGGATTCCAAACGAAACGTGTCAATCATCTATACGTCTGCCTCTCTCATCATCCATACGTCTCCCAGGGCCTATGTGAGTGTCCGAGGATTCCCAGTACCCCACGCTCTTCACGTATACGCGCCAACACTCACTATCTTCTTCTTACACGTGCCCATTCCGATTCTCTTGCACTGGTCAACAGAACTTTGTTTGATTCACCAGACAAAATGTTGGCCTCAAAAAGCGAGTACAGTTGTCCCTGTATACTCTATCGAGTGGATCTCCCAGTCCCGCCATTAAACCACAAGGCGGTTTCCGTCCACAGTCCATGCCATATGTTTCTACTTGTACAAAAAAGACCCCCCGGCTTTCCATGTGAAACATTTATAATTATATATATAGGCACATACATCTGAGGAAATTAAGGAAAGAGAGGAGCTGCTACTGTTTTCTCCATTACTAGTTTCTTTCAAGTAAGCTCTCTACTGTTTATTATGCACCTTGCTTTTTTGAGGAAGAAATCCAAAGGGAAAAAGACTTCTCTTTTGAGATAAATATGACCTCGTTTTTTTTTTTTTTTTTTTAGATTTTCTTGGTTCTTATTGAGATCTCCTTTTACTTTATATTATGGTTATTTCTGGCATACGTTTGGTCTTATTTACTTTAGGTTTTGATTACCAATTTAGGCAAATTGGACAATTTTCTTGAACATGAGTAACTAATTTCTCTTTGTATCTACCAATCTTAAAGAGAAGAAGGTATGGGGAGAGGAAAGATTGTGATTAGAAGGATTGACAATTCAACAAGCAGGCAAGTGACCTTCTCGAAGAGAAAAAGTGGGTTGCTTAAGAAGGCTAAGGAGCTATCAATCCTTTGTGATGCTGAGGTTGGATTGATTGTCTTCTCTAGCACCGGCAGGCTTTACGATTATGCCAACACTAGGTTAGATATCTCTCTCTCTCTCTCTCTCTATTGCGTCCTTTGAATTTTCTTTGGAGAGAAATATTGTTGTCATGTGAAGATTTTTGCATATCCGAAGATGTTATTATTGCATAAAATACTGATTTTTTTATGAACCTATATATAGCATGTGGAATTACTTAACACATTCAGAAAGTCATATTATCCCTGATAAGAAATTGCTTTTAAAAACTTCCAAATGAAAAAAAAGTTACAAATAAAACGTTTGAACGCTTCTCACAGTGTACATATATATATATATATATATATATATAGGATTCAATTATCATCTCTATAGGCAAGAGCTAATTATTTACGTATAATAATAAATTGAGACAGGAGGGAGCTAATGCATGATACAAAAGTTCATTGGATTTAGTTATTTAGTAATCTTCAACGAAGAGGGGTTTTTAAGGCTTGGACGATGAGAATTTGTAAAGAAGTAGATGCATGCTTCTCCTTACTTAGACGTCTTAGCATTGTGTTGCATGAGATATGTTGTCTCCTTATTGGCTTTGTTTATCCACATGAAGACACAGTTCTTAAAAATACAAAGTTCTTAGATGAAGTTAATTGATCGTACCTCCTTCAACTGTAATCACCTCCGTGTTGCCCTTCATCTAAGTTTTAAATGAGAAGTTTGTAGCTAGTTTGTCAATTCTTATGAAAAATAAGTCATCTATGAATATCACATTTCTTTAGGGCCTAAACAGTGTGTAGACTTGAGCTTTAGGAAAGACAGTTTTCTTGGTACGAAGGGGGATGCATGTTGGGGAAGGCAGAGTTGTAGATGTTAGAATTCTCTACCAATGAAGCTACAAGTTCTTACTCATGTGCATAATTATATATATAGGGCTGGGCGGTTCTGCGGCACCATAAAAAAGACAAAAATTTTGAGACGGTTAGATTTGTACACTTTTAATGGTTGAGTTGTAATTTCATTATTCCATAAATTTCTTTTATTTAAATAATTATGGATTGGGTTTTCTTTAACTTCAAAAAAAGAAGAAGAAATTATTCTTCCCTAATCTCTTTCTTCTGTTTCCTATCTTTCCATTCTCTGCATATTTTTTGCTCTATCTTTTTCTCCATTTGTCCTTCTCCCAGCATATTTTATCTTCTCTACTTTTTTCCTTTACAACTTTTTTCTCTATCCTTATAATCACATAATCCCATTGCGCTAGGGCATCAACCCAACTTCAGTAGCAAGCATCAAGACGAGTGTATAATTGAATAATTTAAATTATAAAAAAATGAATACTTCGTTCACAATGTCTATTTTCTGCACGTTAAGTAATGAACCGAAAACTGGATATCATAATATTTGAATTCACATTTTAGTTCAGGACGTATGTTAGGAAATCTAATTATTCAATAAATGAATGATTCCTGGACGCACTAATCTGTTTGTGTTTAGCACAAGTTTGGCTGGTGCAGAATTAAAGATATGATCATCAAGATGGAGAAGAAATTTAAAAACAAAACGAAAAGCTTTGAAAACAAGATAGCATGGCCATGGAAGCTAGGATGATGGTTAAGAAAGAGAGGGGGAAATATCTGTACATAGGATGAACGATAAGAGGGAGAACGGAGATGAATGAGTCAGAGGAAAAAGGAGAAAATTAACGAAAAACAATTAATGAGATAGGAAACATTATATAAAAATCTTAATTAAAAAGATTTTAGAACTGCATGCATTTCCAATTCATAATTATTTGAACAAATAAAAAAATTAGAATCCTCTACATTTTTTCTATATCATTTAGATTAAACATCTATGCCTTTTTAAAATTTGATTAAAATGCTTTGACCAATAGTCACCTCTATTTTTTAAAATTAAAATAAATTTTGAATTTATCCTTTTATCTGCAGGATGCAGTTTTCCTTATTTGGTGGAGATTTTAGTAGTTAAACTATATTTTCTCTTCTTCCAAATATGTTTTTTTTATGGAAATGTTTAATATTTTTTTTGCCCAAATGGTTTTTTCTTTTTCAAATAGTTGGTGATCAACATAAAAGCTCCGTGTAATTTTTTCAATTTTTTTGTGAAATTATATTTTGTTTTTACTGTTTTTTTAATTATAGTTGATGAATTATTATTAGGTACAATATATTACGTATATATTATCTGCAGGTATGTTTGAATTTACAAAAATCATTAATTGATATGTTTGATTTGATACATATTGTTAATATTGGTACATTATTTTTATTTTGGTACGTTTTATTTTGTACATATTGTGTATTGATATGTTTATACTATTCTCAATCCTATTTTCTCTTAATGTACTAAAAGAAAAACTCATTTTGGTACGTTTGATTTTGGGGGATTTAAAAATATTTTCAACTATTTTGAAAAGAAAATATCTTCAATCGTAGATAATTATTGTTAAATTGTAGCATTATTGTGAAAATAAATTGAATCTAACCAACTTTTTTTTTTTTTTTTTTACAATTATCTCTAACGGAGGAGAGTGTAATCAAAAGGCTAGATTATAGGAAATTTGTTACAATATAAAGTGCATATAGCACCAAAATTATGACAAAAAAAAGTTTAATCAAATCATTAAAAGGCATGGATGTTTGATCTAGAAAATTCAAAATTGAGGCGCCTATATCAAAAGATCCCAAAGGCATGGACTAAATAGATTACATCACAACCATTAAAAAAGTATAGATCGTCTAATGGTCTTTTATTTTTTACTTTTTTGTGGTGTCACAAATCCGCTCCCATATATAGATACACACACACACACACATATATTAAGTTATAAATTAGAGAAGTTTAATTATCATTTTTTGAGTTCAAGAAAATAAAAACAGAAGAGATAGTTGGATAGGGATGACAATGGTCATGGAGCATATATGGTAATTAGTGCTATTAAATCATAACTACGTTTATATCGGCGAAAAACACAGTGCAATAGCATAACCATGTTCAACGATATTTGGTTGTTGTAGCCGTGTTAATCACTTGTCAGGAGAACCTTTAGCAATTAAGTTGTAGTTGAAACATGATATTATTGTAGTTCCAGAACAAATTAAGATGTAGTTGAAACATGATATTGTTGTTGCATTGGGTTATTTTTAAGTTTTACCTATATCGGATCATGCAATTATATAAGCGCTAAACAAAATTTTGAGAGTTGGCCAGTAGGCTATATCAATAATATGCTTAGAGAATCTCCAACACTACAAGCTATAAATTTCTAAGTTAGCCTAAAAATGAGTCATAATCTATTATAGCTATTCGGTTTAGGATGAACATCTCCAACATTACTAGTTATAAATACTGGATTTTTTATTATTATTTTTCAAGATATAAAAAATAATAATATTTAATTTGCCCGAGCTAGTTGATATTTTGTGAAAACTGTTGATTCATTTAAGAGGAATAAAGTCTCATGAATATTAATGTAGATTTTCATCTCCACCATTTAAATTATTTTCCACCTTAAGTGGTTTAAGGATCATCAAAAGAAATGAAAAACACAGGAACTACAAGTCCTTGATCACAACCCAGCTCCCTTCCTTTGTCTTGGACACTCACCTAATAAGTGTTTGAACCATCCAGCCATGGTCAAAGCCAAATAAGCCACGGACACCAAATCAATGTGCCAAACGTATTAATATTCATCAGTCAGAACATTTTGAAATGATAGAACATTTTGATTTGAGGGTGCAACAAAATGGTATTGGTTAATTTGCAAGTAGAGCCTCAATTGAGACAGAAAAAAATGATAATGTTAGAAAGAAACGGAGGATCCAGAATTGCGAGAGATGAAGCAGATGCTGGAATCAAGGGAAACATCAGAAGATCAAAGGAAGTCACTCAGCTTTCTTCCTTCTTAGTTTAGTGAATGAAATGCGAATTGCAATTTGGTTGGTCTTCGACTTTTCTTGGTTTTTTGCTGTTTCTCTTTTCTCTAGTTATAGGTTGTTTTCATTTTTTTTCTTTCATCGGCTAGCATTTGCATTGGTATTGATATTGCAATTTGCATTGGCATTCGCATCAACATCAACATCAAAACTAGCAATAACAATAGCTTTCTTCTTAGTAAATAGTAAACTCATGATCTAGTGTACCTTTATGAGTTTGACGGGAGGTGTTAGAAAAGCTTTACAATTTGGTTTCTTTTATACTAGGGATATTTTTTAGTATTTTACGTTGTAGGATTTTCTACCTTATGTTAACATAAGGGCTATGATGCATACACTGGTGTAGCCACATTTACTAGAATGGATGATGCATACCTGGTTGCAGTTTTATGTTAGTTTACCTTTTATCTACTAGGACAAGTATTGTTCTTTGCTAAGTGAGAAAATTAAGTCTTGGAATGTAGCCATTTTGTTCTGTATATAGTGTTATTCTTTCTCTTAAACAATGGAATAAGAATTAGAGTGTGCAATAAGTTCTTTTCTATATAAGTGCTAAACAAAATTTTGAGAGTCGGCCAGTAGGCTATATCAATAATATGCTTAGAAAATTCCCAGCACTACAAGCTATTATTTTTTTTGTTAGTATGAACATTCTAACATTGCCATTTATAAATACTGGATTTTTTTATTATTTTTTCAAGCTATGAAAAATAATAAATAATTCATTAGCACGAGCTAGTATTGCAGCTTCTGGAAATTATTGCAAGCCTTAAAACCATTTAAATCTTTTTCCATCTGAAGTGGTTAAAGGATCATCAAAAGAGTGAATAATACAGAAACTACAAGTCGTCAATCACAACCCAGCTCCCTTCCTTTGCCTTGGATACTCACGTACGTGCTTGAAACATTCAGCCGTGGCCAAAGCCAAATAAGCCACGAATAACAAATCCACGTACCAAACGTATCATTGGTCATGTCAAAATTTTTTGAAATGATGGAACATTTTGATTTGAGGGTGCAACAAAGTGCTATCTTCGTTAATTTGCAAGTATCAATTGGACAAAGAAAAAACTAATAATGTTGAGGATATAGAATTGGAAAAG